CCCCCGACACGATCTTCCTGATGGTGGAGTCAAATCTTCAAACGCGAATTGCGGGTGAACGGAACGTCGGAAGTGGGTACCGTCAAAGGGAATGTGGTAGCCCCCGACAGGATCTTACTGATGGTGGAGTCAAATCTTTAAAAGCGAATTGCGGGTGCACGCGGAAAGTGGGAAGCGGTTAGCTACTAGCCTTCGACAAGATCTGTTATTGATGGTTGAGTCGAAAGTGGCTAATAGAATACTGATCTGCCACACAAAAATGCGCTGAAGTCCCTTCGATCTCAAACGAGGACTTTGATAATTTTTTACTTTTTTCACACGCTGTTTTGTCTTTACCTACTTCTATTCTCTTTCATTTAATATAGTCTGCAATTGTTCCTGTACTGTGTGCTCTACTTCTGTGTATAGTTTTTCGGTATCTAGTGGTTCGATTAAGTTAGCGGACATTACTTTACAAATTTTATCATTGACATTAAATAAAAATATAAGCAAAAAATTGTGTATATTTGAGTAAATACCTACCTATTGTAATTCGTTTTAGCAACTGTGGTTGAATTTTAAAGTACGGCAGATTGGGTTTGTTTACAAATGTTGTTTGACCCTGAATTTATTTGCAATTATCTTATCAAACGCGCCGCTTAGAAAATTCCACTTAATTATTTCCGTTGGTTAGAATTTAGTAAACACGATATTATTGTTAATTGCTCTTTGCACGTACCCGATATAAGTTTTTCTTTATCATTTCTGCATTTCAAGATTTATATCGAAACTAAGAGCAGGACGTGTACGCGTTTAAATACAAGAAACCTAGATGCGATCGCATAAAACGGAAACAAATTCAGTCCCCATCGTACAAAAGAAACAAGTTGTAAATCAGCATATGCATGATTAAAGCGCCTTTTTGGTCATGCAGGTCAGTATTTTACTAGCGAAGTTTAAAATTATCGATCTCACGAGTAATTTTGGCTGCGTTAAATAATTAATTTTATTTAATTTCAATTGACGGTACGTCTTCATTTTGTAAAACAAATCACAAAGTAAATAATAAGTTTTTATACTGGTAGCGCTATCTAACGGTAAAATTATAGCACCTCCGAAACCCATATTGAAATTATTTTCTTCAATTATCGATCTCACAAGTAATCTAACTCAAAATAGACTAGTGCCTGCACATCTACACTATAGCAGAAAGCTTTTAGTGAAAATTTGAAGTCTCTAGCTATTGTAGTTGTGGAGATCTAACGCGGACAGCCGGCCTGCCAGCAATAACGAATATAATAGCGTATTTTTTTCAAAAATGCGCTAAAAATACTTACACTAGTGAGGTCACTTAGTGACAAGATATTTACCGACCTGATAAAAGCACCAAATTTGGCATGAAGCTTCCTGAAAGTACCCTTTTAAAGGTCTTTTCACGGCCCACAAAACTCGAGTGAGGAAAAAGTTGTGGAAACATTCAAGTTTCTGAGATAAATGGCAAAATCTCCATTTTCAGGAGTTCAAAAATCGTTCCCACTGATCCCTCGAAGGGGCAACCCTTCGGAAATTGTTTGTTAGGGTCTCGGGAAGCTTCATGCAAAATTTGGTGCTTGTATCCGGCTGGTAAATGTAATATGTAATATAAAATGTTACATTAAGCGACCTCACTACACGGGTTTTGGCGAAGAACAAATCACAGAATGATTGATCTTTGGGACGAAGATACAAAATTGCCTCCATTCTTAATGGTACTTACTCTAATGAACGTAAGCGAGAACGGTTATAATTTCCCACATATCTCGAGGGTGGAGTATAACAGGAGGGTCCCAAGATTGGAAACTTCTCGAAGAGTCACGTCAAACTATCATTTTTGACGTTATTGAAGTATCTCCTAAATATGTTTTTTTTGTTATTATTTTGCTAGGCATTTAAAAACAGATACGCAAAAAGTTATATCTTGCGGTAGGTAATAACTTTCCATGCAAATTGGTTTGGCGTGCATGCATTTGTATAGTGGTGTCGGTGGATTGATTGTGTATCGTACAGTGCTCCCGGATTATCTAATCAGGTTTGATTGTGGGTACCTTTCAGTCCATTTAGCGAGGTATCAGTGCAATTAAATGCAAAACCAAGCAGACTGTAGCAATATTATCTTTGTGTACCATAACCACGTAGCAGGAACCCGAAACAATAAATTTGCATAGTCTACCTCTAGTTGTTCAGTTATTTTCGTCTCTCGTACCAATTTTGTGGATATATATTCTCCAATATTACTACTACTACTTATTGATATCAAGTTTGATTAATACAACCACCGTGTAATGTTATTTTAGCAATTGCATATCTAAACATGCGTTTATGTATAACAAGACTGTCTCAATTATCTACACGAGTAAACTTGAATATTTTACAAACAACGCTACGAAGCCAACAGCGCACACACTATTGGTCTTCAACTCATGGGTAAGTTAATTTTTAGGTTTCTGGATCCTGAAGTAAGTTACATATTTAAAGATGCTTCAAAATGGCCGCCATTAGATTTGATTGTTCACCAGCTTTTAAAAAGTAATTCAATTACCCAAGTCATATACCATGATATACTACCTTGGTATACCCAATATGCTGTTGCCAAAAGACGTAAACATCGGTTTTTGTTGGGGAAAAGGCTAATCCGCATAGTATGGTCCATATATGAATCCTCACTATTTCTGTTTAGAGAATCCCACAAACGTGGTATACGTATAGTAGTTGTCCATCATAAAATAAGCTGGTATGTTTTTTATACGATTTATGATGTTCGTGTTGGCCATTATAGATAAAAATGCTTACAAAGGGTAAGCGGATTGTTTGGACGAAACAATCATCTTGAGAAAATCACCCTTTAGGGATCGAACATCATGGAGGTTTTAATCTAGCTTATTGGGCAGATTTTTAAGAACAAAGTTTAGCCAAGATTTTTGGCAGCAAAATCTAAGGAGTCTATTCTCAATGTCATCTTCCATACGAATTGAGAAGGTTTTATTTTGATATCTTTTGCAGATGTGCTTTATTAATTATGCATCCTTTATAGATTAACAGCGCACTTTGATACTTACCAAGAGGCATTTTTCGATAATCGTGCTCATAATAGCCGCCAAAGAGTATTTACAGCTGCGTAGTATCGTACAGATTGAAACAACACAATTCATAATTGTGAGAGATCGGAATTCCTTTCGTGCAATTGCATTCACAATGCATGAAAGTCGCTTCTCAACGTCACATATTTTTCCAACGACACCCATAATTTTGACACCCAAATATCAAAATTCATATGGTTGTTGAAAATCCATACAATTTCACAATACAGATGATCGGAGAATGCGCTAAAAATAATGTCTCTAATTAAGGGAAGCAAGACTTTTTGAACGCATGTACCACTTAGTATTTACACTATCATCCCCTTCAAATTTTTAGGGATTGTGGTCGCACTCTACACCATATGGACTTTTTTTGCTTCGACACCTGCAATAACGATGGAACACCCTGTATGTGCAAATTAGGCAATAAATTTTTGAAGTAAGATATTCTCTCTGGTTCCCCTCGAACTTGAGGGGTGCAAGTTTTTCCAAAATTCGCTTTTAACTGCTCGAAAATGGGACTCCAATCCGCCAAATTGACTTGACAACACGATTTTCCCTAAGGATCACTAATGATTGAGATATTTTCTAAATTTAGTTAGGTACTTCAGGCAAAGAGTATTATTATAGTTACTCTTTGCTTCAGGTTTTAAAACGCTATCTATAGGCCGCCGACACAAACAAAGCAATCATTGAAAAAATTTACCTGCTCACAGGATTTTGTTTCTCATGTTAGGCTATCAACCAATTGTGTGACACCATTTTGCAGCTCCGAAAGACATGGGCTAATTTTAGGGCCCACAAAAAAAAATTGGAAATTCTTGGAATGTTTACACTCTAAACGTGTTGCGTAATGCGCCATTAATATGAACGCATCATGTTCAGGGGTAAAAGCCATTCTCGATTCTAACAAAAAACTGGGGTTATATATAATCCTTATAAAGTGTGTTCTTTTATGTAGCTCTAAAAAGAACTATTTGGTGTAAAATGCAAGGTTTGTGGTATAGAGACAAGAAAATAAAAACACACGTAAAAAAACCGACGCCAATGGATTGTAATTTGTAGTTACTGTGATTAGAAGGTGATTAGATGTATATCACTGACCTCTCTTTAAAATAGATCAGTATTCAGTGGTGATTAATGTATTGGGGAAAACCGTGACCGGAAACATTAAATTTTAAACGCGAAATTCAAACTATATGCAGTTATTTTAAATCACCCGGTATTAAGGTACTTGATGTCATGCCTTCGCGAACCTTCCCGAGGTGAGTTTAGACCACTTTATTGACCCGTTTTAGCGCATTTTTTAAGAATTAAAAAAAATGTGCTATTGTTTGCGTTTTGTCCGCCCGTCCCTCCATCCGTCCGGACCCACTTCTGCCGTTTTGAACTACTTCTAGGGGAATGGTCCTAGAGTCCTGGAATTTTTGCAGTAGGTGAAGATGTGCCAGTCGGCCATCAAATTTCGCTGTCTAAAAGGCCCCCCCCCCCCACGAATTATTTCCTGAGATGCTGTTTTTGAAAGTAAAACGTGCATAACTTTTAGATACGACAACCAATTGGTCTCAGATTTTTATACGCATGCCTTTAGTGGTTGGAACTTTGGTTAAACTTTAGAAAAAGGGGGTACAAACTATAACTTTCCCGTGCGACTCTTTTTCAAGATCAGTGAGCGACGGGGCCTGAGGGGGCAGGGGGGGAGTGGAACTAGTTATATCCTTCATGGTACTCTAATGAAAGGTCTTAACGAAAGGAAATAATTTCTACCAACCATAGCCCTCCTCCTCGACCTCTTATCGTGATCGGGTATATTCCCTTATGCCTCAAGAACGGATTGTCGGAAGAGGGTACTCACAAAGGGCGATTGAGACGTCTGCTAGAAATATATCCATTGGTGATGTCAAAACAAAAGTTATTACGTTTAAAAAATGCGCTTTATTTGCACAAGAGTTGTGCACAATTTATACAAATATTTCTTTCCTGTGCCAATTCAGCTAACAGCATTACATCAAACCACTTTTCATTGCTTTTATGTTTATGACGCTCGGCCTGAGGATGACCACAATAGATCGAAATCGATAGCCTAAGAAGACAATTAAAAAAACGTGTCAAAACAACGTTTTATTACATACTTCATTAACCCACACGTTTCACATTTAACGAGAGATGGAACACTACATCCAATGGAAAATTATAGTCCTTGAAGGATAAGCGTGCAATTAAACATATTTCTTATTCAATTTACTAAAACAATACACAGTCGTGGTTAGATTGTTTTGTTCGTTTTTTTAATGTATGCTTTCAAGATAAGTTAACAATTCATACTTCGCAAAACCATTGGAAACAGCAATTTGTTTGATGGTGCGTAATTTTTTAATTTAATGTTAATGTGAGATAGAGAATTAATTAACATTTATGGTTAAGTAAAGCATGTTTTCTTGAATATACTACCAAAGATCATACTACAGATCTTAGAATATACTTAGCTATAGTGCGCTATACAGTGAGTTTTTTTTAAATGCGAACATAGGAGTTTACATGCAATGTAATTTCCCTATGTTCGATTTTTAAAAAAACACATCAATCTATGAGGTGTGCGCGGTTCACCTTCCCAAATCGCGCAACTTGTGTGACTATGAACAGCAACTCTAATAGTCTTTATGATGAAGAGCACTCGGTAAGATTTTTTTTAAATAAGCCGTGTGAGGCCACAGCAACTTTAGGATACATTTTTCTGAAACTTACGATAACTTGACCTCACACACTATCTATTCAATACATAAATGATGAAAATAAGAAAATAAATACCGAAAACAATTACAATAAATGTTCGAAGTGTCCTCCTTGACATTCTAAGCAATAACCTAACCGATTTCGTAATTAAATTGGACGACGGTATTTTTAAAAATGTGACAGCTGTCAATTGTATCTACTACTCATTTGAACTACTCAATAGATTGATGTGTTTTTTTTAAATCGAACATAGGGAAATTACATTGCATGCAAACTCCTATGTTCGCATTTAAAAAAAATTCACTGTATATAGGTACCTATTATACTACTACCAGCATAAATGTCAACGTTAATTGACCAAACTGTAATGCACTCATTTTAGCAATTACATATCCAAACATGTGTTTTGTATAACAAGACGGTGTAAATTACTTACAAGGGTAAACTTGAATCTTTTGCAATCAACGCTACGAAACCAACAGCCATACACACTATTTCTGTTCAAGTAAGTTAATTTTAGGTTCTTCCTATTACTAGAAGTGCGTAAGTTACATGTTTAATAGGTGATTCAAAATGGGCGCCGGATTCAAATTGCTCAACAACTGGTTAAAGACATGTATACAAGGCGGTTCATATTCGTGGCCTACCATTGGGAGCTCCGCAATGATGAGAGATGAAGTGTGGGTTAAACGGGGGCAAAGTTGCCTCCTTTTGTGAGTAAAAAAACACACTTAACATTTTTGAAAAATCTTTAAAAATAACTGAGATATCACCGATAAACTGAAAAAGACAAATTTCTTTTTCATTTTCCCTAGCTTAAACGGTCGGATATGGACGGTTCCAATCTATGGGCACTTTCGGAGAATCTGAATCTGCTATGAGATTTTCTATACCACGCTAGATGCAGAAGCTACAGGTGGACGCCATATTGGATTTTTACCGAATGCCACCAGGCGGTTTTAATCAGAGATTTAGGGTTAAATTTCGTCGGAAAAAGTATCAAACTCGAATACTGACAATAATCAATTGATGTTTCGCTATCATTAGCTGGAAAGCAAGTTCTAAACCTTTATTCGATTAAATATTGACGTAGGTCCTTATTTGACTTTCAAAGCCATTCTAATTATTTCGTCGAGATATCGATCAATTCTTGCAGGTCGCGATTGTAAAAATGATTTCCCATTTTGTTGTTTAGTTTACCTGCTACACGAAGCTTCATTTTTTTTCATCTCCACTCCTCTTTATCCATAGTCGTTCTTTTCATATCCGCATCTTCGCTCATCTTCTTCCTCTCTTCCTCGTAGCCCCCACGCCTCCTTCGATCATGCTCTTCAGCAAAATATTCCCTCTTAGCACATGACCAAGCCACATTCTTTTCCTTCTCAATTTTGATGTTTATTCGTATGCTAGTAGTAAATACAAATATTCTTCTAATAAAACTCCTCTTTTGCAGTAGTTTTTCAAGCCAATTTGACTCCAAATTACACGAAACATCCATAGACGAGTGTATGCCTTGTTTTGTCGACTTAACTAAAACATTGACGACAATGCGGACGAATGAAATATCTGATGCCATGGAACGATATGCCAAAACCTTGATCTACAACGTGCCGAGAGGAAAAAAGATTCGTGTCAGGGCAACTGTTACCGCTTACAAACTCTTGGAATCTGCAGAAAGACTCACGCCAGAAAATTTACGATTGGCACATATAATAGGATGGTGCATTGAAATGGTACTTAAATATCAAAACAAATTTATGTCAAGTTCATAGTTTGTTTTAGATGAATGCCGCAATATTAATAGAAGATGACATTATGGATGCATCTTTAATGCGAAGAGGAGCGCCTTGTTGGTATTTGGTTGAAGGTATTGGTATGCGCGCTTTGACTGATGCTAGTTTGATTGAAAATTCGGTGTACGATATTTTAAAAACACATTTTTCGAACCAAAAATGTTACATACATTTAGTTGAATTATTCCGCCTTGTAATGTATTTCACTGGTCTTGGGCAAGCTTTGGATACCTTACGGCCTGCAACTAAAAATGGAAGGTGCGATCTAGATTTTTACTCCGAAGATAAATACAAAAATATTGTCAAATATAAAACTCATTACTATACCTGCGAGTTTCCGGTTAGAGTAGCTTTGTATTTAACCGGTAAACTTAATCACGAGGAGTTTAAACCCCACTTCGACGTTTTGTTTGAGATGAGCTATTTTTTTCAACTACAAGTATGATCTGATCAAGTTGTAGGTAATTCGTTTAACAATTTCCAATTTTCAGAACGATTTTTTAGATTGTTTTGGAAATTCTGGCATTACGGGAAAGGAAGGGACAGATATACAGGAAGGGAAGTGTACCTGGCTGATAATGACAGCTGTGCGCAGAGCCAACGCATCTCAAAGACGTGCTTTATCCGAAAACTATGGAAAACGAAACACGGAAAGCGTTCGCATAGTTCGCAATTTATATGAAGAGTTGATGATTCCAAAAACATACTTTGCATTGGAAGATAATGTTTCCAATTTGATATACAAACGGACACGTGAGGTTTCGAACGCTTTGCCAGACTTCCTCATATATAAAATGAAGGACATGATGTGCAAAAAAGTTTCGAATTATACTGATTAAATTATCCAGTTCCTATATCATGGCAAAGAGGTGCCGGTTCGATATGCGGTCCCCCTTATTCGAGAAGGGGAGAGATCGACGCGACACGTGGCGGAGAAATATGTAACTAACCTAAACGGGATAAATAATAAGCATTATGGCTGAATGTACGTTAAATTCGTCCTCTTTAAAAAAAAATAAGAGCAAGAATTATTGTTGTGTGCCTCAGTGTTTCACTGGATATGATACGATACATACAAAACACAATTTAACCCCGTTTACACCGCCCATTTTGTTTTGTGGTAGCGCCATCTGTTATCACTTCCCTTCTCGAATAGTATCTGATTCGATACGCGGTATGGCGACCTGCTTCAGAGCAATTGGTTCGACATACAGTCTACCTCAGAGTTATCTAGTTCACGTAGTATCTATAGTTCAATAAGCGGTTAGCGGTGAAGTATAATAATTATTTATTTATTTATAGTCATATCTCGACCGATTCAAAAAATTCAGCGTCAAGTTGGCAATGGAGGTTTAATTATGAAAATACGGCTTAATTAGACATTTGAATTTTTAACTCAATTCACAACTCGAAATAAATTAGTTCACGATAAACACTATCACCGCCAACTATAATGACGCTGAATTTTTTTAGTAGCTCTTTATAATAATAGGTAAGTAAGAGTTTAAAACTACGATCAAATTACTAATATATTGAAAACAGTAACAAACTTGTCAGCTGCATGTCTTCGTAAAAGTTTCCATACCCATTTCATTACATGATTTCTTTTGATATTTCTAAACCGGTGTTTGTGTTAGGTAGTCTGGAAATGGAGTAGACCTCATATCGAACCGGTACCGGCAAAGAATATTTAACCATGGGTACATTTAGATAATTACTATAAGTACTGCCTATTATGAGTATCATCAAATGATGGAATGATTGACTTTATAGTACGGTCTGTCTGACTGGAAGTCGAAATTGAAACCCATGGCAACTAATATCGCAATGTATAATTATTGCCATAGGATTATATGACCGTGCTGTCATTAACTTAATAGGAATAATTGGTTTAATGTGATGTGTGAGACAATTTAATTGTAACGTATGTATGTTTGATATTATTTTATGTTCATTATTATGTGATATTGTTCATGTTATTATGATTGTTACAAAATAGACACAATCTTTTATGGACGAGATTATTGAGAATGACGACAACGCTTCAGCTATCTCGGTAGACAATTACAAATGACTTCGGTAAGTGAATATACATAGCGATCAAAAATGAGTAACCGTCGCGTCGAGTCACCTTTGGAATTTTTGTTTATATGCGAAATCGAAAAGCGACTCGACAGTCACTCATTTTTGATCGCCCGATACGGGTAGATATGGAAAATAATTATTTCGGGTCTGACTTATAGTAATAAGCTAGAAAGAAACTCAATAAACATTACATGAGTGTGAAGTGAGATAGAAAACTGAACAACATAAAAGCGCTGATGGCATACATGCGTCTTTTGAGTAGTATCAATGACACGTTTAATTGATACTGTCAATGTCAACATTGGTAACGTTATGTCTCTCTTACACTCATACAAGGCTTATTGGGTTTCTTTCTAGTTTATTATAAGTCGCACCCGCAATAATTTTTTTTCCATACCTGTATATGGTTTTTAGATGTGCAACCAACAGTATTTAACTCTTTGGACGGAGAGCACCTTTGGCCTTGTGTCTCTCCAAAGTTGATCCTTCGTGCCATGGAATTTCATTTCCCATCGTTACATGTGTAATTCCACATACCGGTTGGGGTCCTATAAAATGCATCTGTCGATCTGCTCTGGCTAGTTTCATTACCCTTAATGACTGTAGGCCCACGTTATTATTTTCCGCAAGCTGATGCAGATTTCCAATGTACTACGGCACTAAACCAGAACTTCATGTTTCCTTGAGGCTTTTAATGCCGCCTGGATTTGTTCCTGTTCTCAAGATTACTCCCTATCAACGTTTGAGCGCAGATTTCCATTATCTGTTACGGAATCATCCGTATAGTAAGACGGATCCCCAACCAGTTTTGGGGTTCCATTGCGCTCTCAACCCCTGTTGGTAAAATTATACTATAAGGACTTTTGTGGAATACATTTGCTTTATTCTGTAAGGAATCATTTCTATAACGTTTATTTTAGACAGCTCATTGAGAATGGCGCAATGTCCTTCTCTAGAGAGTCCCACTGAGTTTATCTTTTGTTGAAGTGAAAGGCAATATTCCCATTGAATAAGGGCGGGCTTCTTGACCTAGCCCCATGCGCTGCGAACGGTCCGACCCTTTTTAGTATTTTAAGAGTTCAATACTTTTGTAGTAAAATCAGTTCATCGACAGCATTGTCAAAGGATACTTGTATCTGCGTTTTTACATTTAAATTGTTAATTACTTATTTTGTACCTGTTTAATTTAATAACGAATAACATCTTTTATTCATTTTATTTATTTATTCGCGGCATGTACAACCACAATGTGTTCGTTGACATCAGCATGGATATTTCTGTTGTTTAAAATGCAGGAGGTCTACTTGCAGACTGTCATGTGGATTTCCTTGCGCCTGAGCGATTCCTCCACTGTGTATTTCAAGCATCTTTTCTATTCATGTAAAAGGCCTAGGTTTACTTCTCTCCACGCATACCTCAGGGCAATAGCCGCCCTGAAAACTGCCCATAGTTTAGCTTTAGAGGACAATTTGTTCAACTCCCCTTTGTAGAAGTACTGGAAAAATTCCGTCTAATCCCCGAAGATCTAAATAGGTGAACAGTTTTAACTTTAACCATCCACATTTGTTCGGCGGTCATTCCCGAAACTTTCGATATCCACAGGACTTTTGCCTTCAAAGGACAGTCCCTAAGAATTTTTCACCCGGAACACCTCATCCAATCGGTTTACTTCGTGTTTCTGTCCTCTTTTCGGCTATCTATTTCTGATTTAATCGAATCTTTTATACCCCGCCTGATCAGAGAGAGATATCTCATCCAACACACGCCGGTTTATAATCATGTCATAGGCATGGTGCCTAATGCTATACCATTGACTACACGTGGTGGGTATCTCTTCATTATCCGAATATTGCTCAAATAAATTTTGGTGAGGTGAATAGATTGTCTTGTCTTGTACTTATGTTATGATGCTACCTTTCATAAGATCTATTACATTCATATGTAGACGTATCCCATAATCCCACACACGTATGTCTATGACCAGGTAGAATCCAAAACAATTCGTACTTTTTCGATCAGACTTCTCAATCAAAAGTTATAGACTAGAAACCAATATCGAAAAAAATTCAAAGGGCTGTAACTTTTGAACTAGTAGCCCAACCTTGGAACTGTTTGAAATTATGGATTCTACAGGCCGCATTCTATAAGAAAATTTTTTTCCGGGTCGATCTGAGACAATTTTTTTTTGGGGCTCAAAAAAAGGCAGTGTTATAACCTTCCTTTTTTACCAAAAATAGACTGCACCAAAATTTCTCGGGAAAACAGTTTTTCTTATTAATTTTGGTGCGTAGAATCCAAAACAATTCGTACTTTTTCGATCAGACTTCTCAATCAAAAGTTATAGACTATATAGAAACCAATTTCGAAAAAAAATTCAAAGGGCTGTAACTTTTGAACTAGTAGCCCAATCTTGGAACTGTTTGCAATTATGGATTCTACAGGCCACATTCTATAAGAAAATTTTTTTTCCGGGTCGATCTGAGACAATTTTTTTTGGGGGGCTCAAAAAAAGGCAGTGTATAACCTTCCTTTTTTACCGAAAATCGACTGCACCAAAATTTCTCGGGAAAACACTTTTTGTTATTAATTTTGGTGGGTAGAATGACAGGTCCCTTAGTTGTGAATTATTACACACGCAAATGCAAAGTGCAATTCTGAAGGAAGAATTTTATTCTTTATTTAAACTTAGTACAATTTCAGTAGATACTATTAATGGTGATAATATAAGCACATGTAATCACACTTGGTAACTATGCAACAGTGAAGTTATAATGGTTACACATATTTTTAAATAGAACCAAAGCACTACATACTTAATGTAAATAAAAGGTGCGTCTGGTATGGAGCCTTACAGTTAAGCTACTTCCATATATTTTAATGCAGATAGGTACCTACATACAAGGAATTCACTTAGGGCTATTTCTAAAAACTATTCATATTTTGTATGTACTGTAGGTAAACAAAAAATAGAACTAAGCCACTAATAACTTTGTACCTACGTGCTTTTTGATTGATAACGTAATATACATAAATAATTCGATGATTTTAATCCGATTGATTATTGCCCATGCGGGGGTAGTTTTCAATATAGTCGTCGTCATCGGCGAAACTGTTCTTGTACTCGATTTCGATTGATTTTAGTTTCTTCAAAGATCTCGCCTTTTCTTCTTCAATTGTCCCAGGTGCAGGGTTAATGAGCTTTAAAGGTACATCGGTTACCAACTCCCCTCCAAGGGTACCGCAGTTTAATTTCACTCTCAAGGAATACGAAATTATAATGCCGATGGCATCTGCAGCACATTTTCCCTCGGGAACCAGAGTGGAACTGGCGAGGTTCATTTCCTCATCTTTAAGGTAACCATCTAAAGCGATACCTCGACAATCTTTATTGCTGGAAGCCAAAGGAGTTAGGTTGAAAGTTTTTTTAAATGAAGCGCCTGGAGTTATGGGACATCCTTCGCGTGTTTCCAATTCTGCGACGTACTTGGAAAATTGACCATTTACCATTGTTATTTCGCAGTGTTGTACTATGTAGACCTTAATATTTCGCACAGATTTTCTCGAGTTATTCGTTACCAAAACGTTAGCCGCAATTTTTTCTCCATGGAAATATATCTCTTTGCCTAACGTAACTTCCAAATTAATCTTTCCGCTTGAGAAAGTAAAGCCTTTTGATACAATGGAGCTTGGTTGGCGATTAGAATGAACATCAGAAGTCGATTGACTCTTCTTAATTGCTAATATAACGGTGCTCCGCTTATGTCCCACATCATCTTCGTTGTCGGCAACGTATATTTTAAGTGCATACTCTACACCTAACGGCTTTCCTTCTTCTTTAACGCCCTTCTGAAGTATTACGGATGAAGGTGCCATTTCGGGAAAGTGGAATGTGAAGGGGTAAGCGTTAGGTGCCAGTTTCTTGATAAGTTTTTCTTGAACAGCGGTGAGTTGGTGTTTTTCATTTTTCTTTGGCACAATCTGACCCGCTGCGATTACCATTTCCTTGCTGAACTTAACTCCCATAACCTCATCTTCCTCTCGGCCATAGCGGTACGTAGTGACCACTTGGCCGTAGATCTTCCTTCCTTTAAGATAATCATTTTCGACCACGATAACTCCATCAATCGGGTCGATGTAATCTAAATGGTCTACGAATTCTCTTTTTCCCAGGTAAATTGTAACCTTACCATTCGGTGTTGACTTTTTATATACTCTAACAGCAACAACCATGAGGTTTGATGAACGCACGCACTCGCACTTGTTTCGTCTAAGTTTACTGCTGCTTTGAGGTGTTTCCACCAGAATTGTGAAGGCCTGCGTTCGACAGACGAATTTAAAGGGTTTTTAAGGTTTCGAAAAGTACAATTGGATTTGGCAAATTAGATTAAATTATAAGTTTTCTTAATATAGAACGGATTATGAATCATTGCGACGGAAATTGTATCGATTTTCTCTGTCACAAAACAATGTTGCACAACTACGCATTAAATAACAAAATGTACCTACATATGTTCAATAACTGCGTTTAAAAAATCCAACTTTGGTTAAAATTGGGGCCTTATCCATTCTAAAACCTTCAAACGTAACGTTTAAACAGTCTGGTTGAAAAATAAAACCATAGAATGAAATTGGTAGCGATTTCAAACAACCAGTACTGATAAATGTGGATTACTTCGAATAAATTATTATCGCAAACATATTGCCTAATAAAAGGTACCATTTTTCATGCACAACAGTCGATTTTTCAAGAGTTACAGGTTACAATACGTAGGTATAGAAATAATTACCATTTTCACTAGTTTCTGAAAAATATCACAAAGTTTTATTTTATTTTACAGATTCATTTACAATTACAGTTTGTAGGTTCTAGAAAAATCCTAGAACACGTCAGTTAGTATTTTCACATGCACGTTTTTTTTTGTATTCACAATTTTGTAGACATGGTATCTCAAGTAGGAAGTATCTATAACGTATTTATTATTTTTTAGCGCATTTTTTTAAGAATCCGTCCGTCCGTCCGTCTGTAGAAATTAAATTTGTCTCAATAAAAGGTACTACCGCCCTACTATCTGACTCCTTATCAAAAGAAGAGGGAAGGGGAGTGGAACTAGTTTTATGATTTATCCTTCATTGTACTCTTATAAAAGGAATTAATTTCTACAAAGTCCTCCTCCTCGATCCCTCATATCGTAATCGGATACATTCCCTTATATCTCAAGAACGGATTGTGGGAAGAGAGTACTCACACAGGGCGAATGGGATGTCTTGAAGAAATATGTCCATTGCTGAGGTCAAACTTTAAGAAAGACCTCGAAAACGGTTTGTCGGAGGAAAGTACTCTTAAAGGCAAAAAGGCCTGCGTTCGACAGTCTTTAAGGACACGTCGTCCCTTTTCTGTGAAATCAAGAACTGACTACTATTCTCTGTGAATTATCAATAGGTAATAAAAGGACTAACCATCAGAGAAGAAGAAATGTAAAATTGCCTTGTTCCGATGTTAAATAAATTTTACTAAATTACTGGAAATCGGTACCTACTGAGTTGATTTACTTAATTCGTTGCCTTATTACCACCAACCACGTTACGGGCACAACAGTATAGGTAACACAATGTAGGAGTAGGTATACGATCCACTACCACACCGCCTGAACCTACTTTTACACAAATTCTAAAGTGGTGCAAAACGTCCGACATTCGGCATTGAAGTTAAATGGCTGTGCTTGTAGTTTTCCCCAGATTGCCAATTGTACGTAAGTATAGGGTAAGTTGAGATTGCAGTTCCGGATGGGGGCCCTAAAGATCACTACAATATGTGCTTGTAGCTTGTAGGCTCCCACAGATTTCCATTTTCAACAGAATGGTGTGTTTAAATGTACCTTGGTCTTCGCGGTAGGTAAATTGCATCATCGCGGGTGAAAATGTGTTCCTGTACTCCTTGCTACCACCCGGGCGACTTTCTGGAAGAGCATCGAAAGTTCATCCGTGGCCTTAACTACAGTTATCATCATCAATATATATTAGTTCGTTTGTATTTGGTAGCTTATAGCTGTGGCACCTGAGCAAAAATCTTTCTTATTTATTGAGATATATTTGTTTAATTTTAACCAATGATGCTTCTAGTAAAAGCATACATATCGCATACTGTAAAAATCATTTTTGGGAAGTACTGTGCGATCAAAAATGAGTTGCTGTCGAGTCACCTTTGAAACTTTTGTTTTACATGGGAAATCGTATTTAATTTGAACTTCCAAAGGCAACTCGACAGCAACTCATTTTTGATCGCCCGTTACCTACTTATCAATTCATAGAAAAGGCACTAAAGTTACTCGCCTTAGGGCGAAAACCTGTTTACTTGTTATTTTTTCTGATGTCAGGCCCAATCTTGGTTAGGCACCCGATCCGAAACCACAGATTTTGTGCGGAAACATTTATCACAGATTTTTAAATCTGTGCTTTTAATATCAGTCATGTGGCGCAATCTCTATACATAAATGGTAACAATTGACAGCGTCCTCTGTATTCCCCACTATCAACTGTGTATATGTAGAACGTTACCATTAATGGAAATCTGTAATAGTGATCAGTTTTTGACAGTTATATTGGTAATGGCTGAAAAGAGTTGTACAATAACATCCTATACAAATATTTTTTTATATAATTTTGTCTATCAACATTTTTTCAGGTTTCAAATATAATATTTCCTTCATAATTTTTATTGAATGCGATCAGTTTCTTATTTTACAAACGTGCATGTAACCAATAGTGTACTTAACGTAATTTGTGTCTTTTGTGCAAACAATTCAACATATAACATTTGGACATAAAATACAGTTAAAAATAGTTTCGTTATGCTAACCATTGATGGTTATAAGATTAGATAGTAATGGCCAATTTGAACTTTACTCGAAACATCGGGGGCAGTAGCCTCGCTCGCTCAAATGTCGGTTTTGGTGGTAGTTCGATGTCTGGTCATGTAACGCCAGTTTTTGGTCAAAGAGCACCTTCGGACCGAAGAGGGATGCCCGGGCTAGGGTTAGTTGGCTATCAGTCGACGGATTCATGTGTTTATACGTAATTATTTTAGTGGCAGCAACCAAATTGGTAGCATGAGTGCGTTGGGTGGTTACAACTCCCTGCAGTCAGTATTTGGATCCGGAGATACAAATACTCCTCCTTTATTGGACCTCAGTGAATTTCCCTCACTAACAAACAGAAACGCCACCGACAATGTTCCTCAACCAAACCCAATGCCGGGTGCAAAGCCGTACGTAGGGATGGTGAAGCAACCAACGACTGAATCAAATGAATTTACCATGTCATCAGAAGATTTCCCTGCTTTACCGGGCACGCACCATCGAGAGGGACCGTCGCCCGGTGGAGGTCACCAGTCTGACAAAAACAGTAGCAGCAGCGCAAGTGATAGCGGCACGGACACCAGGACGTCGGAAAAGAGTAGTACGAAGCAGGGCATCCAAACGTATCCGGATGGTAGAGTGACGAATATACCGGCTAGTATGGTTAACGATCAGTTCGGTATCGTTGGATTACTAACATTTATCAGGGCAGCCGAAACAGATCCGAACTTAGTTTCGTTGGCGTTAGGACAAGACTTAACCGCCTTAGGTCTGAATCTCAACTCCCCAGACAATCTTTATCCTACCTTTGGAGGACCGTGGGCGGAACAACCTTGTAGGCCACAGGATATCGATTTTCATGTTCCTCCTGAGTATCTTGTAAATAGTGCTATCAGGTAAGGAATCATTTTCGGCATGGTTTTAGATATTTGTCATTTGACACTCTTACTCCTATACAATGAGATCAAGTGTTTATTTTTCATAAATGTGATATACGGGGTGATCAAGAAAATTAAGATAGAATTTAAATCTGTGTAACAGCTTTAACTCGAGCTTTAAACAACCTTCCCTATCACCTTAAAAAACCTTTAAAAAATTATATATACAAGGTGTTGACCAGTACTATCTATTTTATTCTAATATTTCAGAGTAGGTCATATACTTACTATATTAATAGCAATTATTTATGATTGCCCTCGTGATTGCCTTATCAAAAATTTGAAAGTTATTTGCAAAAATGATCTTTTTTATTGGGGCACTAAGTGCATATGGGTAGTTCGTATTATCAGTAGTGAAATGTTTATAAATATTGGTAGAGGAACTGTGGAGTTTCCATGTATTTATAAATATATAGGATGTCCCATTTTAAAACATTACATTTCTATCTATATCTAAAAGCATACATATATAGAGATCTGGGGTAGATATAATAAATTTTACTCAAAATTTTATAAACAGAATGACAAATATGCATTACGCGCAAAGACAAAGCGTCGGATTGCAATTTTAATTTTATCATTTTGTAATTTAATGTTATTTATTTTGCAATACCTATTTTTTAAATGAATCCGGAAAACAATAATAACCATTTTTCAAAATTTTTTCTTTTTCACAAAATTATGTGTAAATTAAACGTAAGAAAAAGGCGAAAAATTAATCTATATACACATACAGGGTCCTGCAACAGTGTCGGTTTTACCTAGCTCATATCTGGTAAAAAATATTTAAAAAACCTTTAGTGCAAATGTCAACTATAGATCTCATCCACAGAAATTATTTTTGAATGTATAGGGTATCCCAATAAATAACTGATTTTTTAAATAGAACATCCTGTATATTTTTGCATGTTTCAATACCATTTGTTAACCTCTCCATGGAAACCTATTCACTTTTAGGTTTTTTGTCAACGTTACCATCAATATTAATTTTTTGTGAGTAGTTCCCTATAAACAAGTCTCACTTTAATGAATCGTAACCAGCTTGATTGTGAAGTTAAGAAATACATTAATCGGTAATGGTAATCTGAGTAAAGGGTAACACTTTGATAATGAGAAAGTTGGGTTTAGTGATACAGGGTGTTCACAAGGAAACAGTAAAATTTCCAAATTTCAAAGTGCCATAACTATTTTTGTTCAAATGGAACTCTCACTCGTTTATTTTTCAGGGTATTCATATTCAATGTTTTTCACAAAAGTACCTACCTATTAATTAATTACATGTTTATACACCAGAGGAGTAGGCTGTGATAATAAAAAAAACAACAGAATGCCAGAAAGTGTCAGTGGCGGTGTAAAAAAATCTGACATGCCTATATTTGCTTACTTTTTTTTACGGGACTGCAATCACACCATACGATAAATTTTGTGACGTATTTATTTGGAGATAACTAAAAGTCTCGAGTTGATAATATATTTGCTTATCTCAGGATTTGAGTAGCATTTTTGCATGCAAATATGATTATCTCAAAATACCATATGGCTTTGATGCTTATCATTTATCAGTAGTTATTGGATTACATTATTTATTGTATGAAGTTGCCTTAATAAAATTCACTTAAATATTTCAATGAATTTTTTGATTGTCTACTACATATCGGGCAAATAACGTTGACATCCACGTAATTTAATTTTTTTTTAGATTCTTTAACTCTCAAATTATTCTTGACTAGGAGACCCTGCGAACTTCGTATGGCCTATCAATCAATGTTCCGCCGCTGGATGCAGGACCGTAGCCAGAATGAAGTAGCAGGGGTGGCCGGTATTTTCCTAGGGGGGCTTAATAAGTTTTTGTTAAAGACTTTCCTTGTAATTTTTATAAAGGAACCATCAACCGTAATTTCCAGTGGGTAAGATTTTCAATTATTTGCCAATTTGTTCGATGAAATGGCAAAACTCATTGACTTGATGCACAGGAACTAGATTTTGTGCTCTTCTTGTCATACTTCTATTTTGGTTAAGGTTAAGTTGGTAGAGCAAAATTGAAAGTGCATTTCCTTATTGCACAATAAACAACTTATGTGCTCTTTTCGTTAATTTTAGCACAATTTCGTTGAGAGCGCAGCCGTTTGCACCGACAAATTTAAGCGCAGCTTAAAATCCATGGCAGCGATTATTGAGACAATGGTTGTCATGGATTTTTAGCTACACTTAAGCAAAGCTCCGCTTAAATTTGTCCGTGCAAACGGCCATAACTTGTTTATATAAATGTCATCATCTTTTACACCTTCTACACATACAAGCCACAGAAATATATACACAAACTAGAACGCCAATGGGTAAGGATGCGCGAGAACAAAATGACACAATTTACTCTGTGTGAATCAGATGTTGGTGCCCTTCTGAGCTTGCGCATTGTGTGAGCTTACAGATCCAGTCACTGAACTGTGTTTATTTTAGTGGATCCGGTCTTATTCTTAACGCAATTAACGGTTGTTTTGTCTGCAGCAATAATGTCATCAAATTATTCCATAATGTCCATGTAAAAGAATATCCAAAATTTACTTCGTTATCTGACTTTCCTCAATATGTAGATACTTCCAAATATTTTAGCGGCGGCTGCGCGGTGTCTTACTGCGCAAACTCGGTGGTGCACCTGCGCGAATTCAGTTTGTGTCAGTTTATTTTCATGGCATTAGCGTTCCATATTTTTAGTTCAGTGGTACAAGCTAGTGCGCAACCTTGGGATAGGGATCTCCATCAAATTTGAAATAAATTTTTACATGATCTCATTGTATGAAAAAAGATGTAGAAACCTTCCATTTTATTCAATCATTATTATCAACGTTATAAACTTCTTTACACTGTGCTATCAAGAATAATAATTTTTTTAATTGTTTCAGAGATAAACTTGCAGGAGTGAAGTTCACCCGATATAAAGACGATCTTTTATTTTTTATGTTTTATAACAATTGCGGTGATGTCTTTCAAGTTTTAGCTGCAGTAGAATTGTAAGTACGACCATCTTTTTCTGCTGAATTTTTTTGTACAACGCCAATCTTGTCGCAGGTACAATAGAGAGTGGCGGTATCATACAGAAGAGAAAGTGTGGATAACGCAGGTACCTGGCATGGTTCTTCTTGAAAAAACATCAACGTACGAAAGGGGGACGTATTATTTTTTCGATGTGCATAATTGGAGGAAAGTGGCGAAGGAATTTCACTTAGATTATAGTAAATTGGAAGGCCGGCCTGTCATACAGCAGTCCATGCACAATGCCACGTAAAATATGGCCCGAGATCGTACAATATCACAAACGGACGTTGTATGTACATGTACCATAATGTTCCATACTACAACTTTTTGGTTGTTCCTGTGAAGGAATACTGTTTATCACGTATGATTTTAAGTATTAATAAAGTGGAGATAATTTACATGTAGTTTTCCTTCTTCCCTAGAAAGGATGTGTGCATAGCTATCAGCTTTAAGCAAACTGGCTCAGGTTTCGAATGCACTCTAGCACAAAGCCGAAGTTCAGTTTTTGCGTCCCACAGCTATCTGTTTCTGTTAGCAATTGACCGATACAGCATTTTTGGCAGATGCTTCTATGTATGAAAGCCGATACCGATAAAATATCGGCCATTTTTTTAGTTAATTTTATTTTTTGAAGTGGGCGGGGTTTCAGGCAAGACTACTCTACCAACCCAAGGCACTATACATTTACAAATATCTATGCCAGAACCCGGATTCGAACCAGCTACCTTTGATACCACATTCGAGCTTCACTCAGGCAGGCTAAAATTTAATGAAAAAAAAACATTGAATGCGCACTTGATGTAGCCACATTGTAATATTTTGGAGTAGTATTTCGTTTAAGTTGCGTAAAATTGTGAGACATTGTCATATGTTGTCCATGTTCAGTATTTGTTTGGCGGCACATGTTTTCACTGCCATAAGTTTTTAATTTGTAGTCCTTCTTCTGTTATGTCTCAAAACGCTTGATCTCTTCGTCTACAATTTTGATTTGTTTGTTCGGCATCCTCTGAGTTTGTTTTTTTTTCCAATTCCTTCATAGCAATGTTTGATTGCGTGAGCACGACATTAGGGGCTTTTTAATCCTTTATGCAACCTCTCCATATATTCCAACCCCCATCCCTCTCATTTGTTAAGGAACCATCGTTGAATATGAGGTTTTTATTCAATCTTACAGCTAATTATAACAATAAATTTATAGCAGTTTTAAAATGAATTAATTTATAACAGTAATTATTATTTATCACTTACAATGTGCTTATATAGTAAACGACAATTGTTCTTTTCGTTCGTTCGTTCGTTTCATGGCGCATCGATGTCTATCGGGATTTCTGGAATGTTCGCTACACTGCCCCCCCCCCCTCTTAAAACACTTGTGTCAATCAACACGGACGACGGTAGTAGCTGAGACACAGTTCCAGACAGCTCTAGTACTACGCGAACTTGGCGGTACTTGCACGACGACCCCCTCGTGCATCTTCCATTCTTGAAGAAAAAACAATCCACTATCTTACGAATGGGTTGAGGGATTCCTCTGGAGATAAAGCAACTGACTAATATTTCCACGACGATGCCGGTGCCCTGGAATACCACCTCTCCAACATATTGCGCACGACGCGTCAGTCCAATCAAGACCATATCCAATTTTCGCGATTTCCAGCTTTATAACGCCATGAATTAGTGTAGCTGATGCCGTTTTAAGTGCTGTAGCAAGTAGCGCATTCCAAAAATCTTCGTAACTATAGACTTATCACAAGACCGGTCTTTTGTTACCAGATAATAAATCCTCCCTGCTCCCGTGGGAAATTACACACTTTACCCACCTCGGGACGTTGCACGTAGATTTCTCTTAAGCGCCCAAACCGTAATTTGAATTTTATCATTGAATAAGTAATCATAGTTACTTATTCAATGATTTTATACGGTAATACCCCCGATGGACATCTTGACGGCCTTGGCTTATGGCTTTGCAGTGAGTCAAAGCGTACCTACTCCACTGGTGCTTCAAACAAATCTTTAGATTCCTCATGGACAACATCAAAATCGTGCCCTTTGCGTTCCAGAGTAATGCGCTGATGTGCAGAGTGTCCGGGGGTACCTACTTCAAATCTGCTAAAAGAACAGTTGTAGCTTCTTGATTTGGTACAGCACATAATGCTTCTGTCCTTTGCTGAAATAGTGGCCATGACCACCACGATATATTTACTTCCAGCAACTGTCTCTGGCAAAGGGCCTGCGATATCAATGACTATTCCTTCAAATGGACTACCCACGTACAATGTATTGGTGCCTTCTTTTTTTCAAATTGCACTATTAAAAGCTGGCATTCTGCTACAGATAATTGCAATGGTGCACTAGGCTCAAAAAGTTCGACCAGTTATCGATGAATGTAGCTAAGAATTAAAACCTCCGCCCTATATCCACCACATAGTAAGTAAAAATCAAACCATTTCTTTTCCGAGTGAATGTAATAAAATTCCAACCGTTTTTTGGGATCTGGAGGAGCATCACAATGTTCATACTCCAAAGCGAAGTCGGCACACATTGGACATTGGTTTGTTATTACCTAATGCAGGCTAAACTAAATTTCAAAGTACCTAGGTGAACATTTTTTAGAGGGCACTTGCTTACAGGCTTATTTCATGAATCTAATAAAAACGTAACCATAAAATAGAAAAAAAGGTAGCCATAGTCGATTCCACGGTAACTTTGAGAGCTATACGCCCTCGTATTCTTTTTTCTGAGTTTCGGGTTGTTATGCAAACGAACCCCTCTAAGTTGCGTTGTACACAGTTACGACCACCTGTGATTGCCAACGATTCACCCGCTCTCACAAGCTGTGTGAGGCGTTTACGACAGACCCCCCGCGATTGGGGTGCTGCGATTCCCTCCCCCTGCGATTAGGTGGGAGTATTCGATAGCTCCTCTGCGATTAGATGAAGCTTCAACTTTGTGCATCCGCACGATTTTTTTCCCGGGAAACATCGGACTACCCGGTGAGTTAGTTGTCAAGTTGGTATATATGTAGCACGTTGCCACAAACCGAATGTGAGAAGTAAGAAAATATGTAAGTAAGAAATTGAAATTTTTCTTAATTAAATAATTACAACTTTTTTTGTATTTTGTGGCAACGGTACCATTTAAGATGCTGAGGAAAAATAATTATAGGGATGATTCAGTTCTGCTGTAAAAAAATTAATTATCCACCTTACAAAGTATTAGTATTGTAAAGCATCCCATACTAGCGGGATATGAATGTACATCGCGTAAACCGCTCTAGTCATATTTTAGTTGTCACTCCTGGGTATGATAAAAGTTGTACCTATGTATGAATCAGAATTCTATTCTTTAATTTTCGATAACAACAAACAAATATTAACAACTGCTTTTAATGTTCATGGTCTATGAGTTATAATTATGATCATAAAACTGTTTTCATTCGTACGAATGCATTATGGGTACACACGTGTTGTATTGGTGGCCTATATGCAAGGCAAAGAAAAATAAATTATTGTCAGGATATAGACACTCTTTTTATTTGCCTTATTGTACAACAGGGCTTTGATTTCAAAACAAATCACCGATTACAAAATTTTTTCAGATTTTTTGCAGTTTTTGAGTGCGATTCACATTTTCTATTGCCAGAGCGTTGGATTCCATCCTGCAAATTTAAGCAGTCATTCTTATTTTGCAAAATTGAGTAAGTAGATCATCTGCAATGTGTAACCTTTACATTTACATAATTAACTGGCGACTCGATGATGACTTTTTTTCGCATTAAAGTTAGGTTTATGCAACTTTATGACAAAGTGTTTCATTTGTTGAACTGTTCTCCTATTTCTCGGGAGCCAGCAAAAGATTAACTTTGAATCTAAGAAGACATCGAATTGCCTGTAGTTCTCTGAGTTTCATATGTTTATTTTGCAATTTCAGGATGCGTTTTAATACATTTATTTGCAATATATTCCGCTATATCTTTTTAGGTTGGTATCGGCAAAATTTCACGTGAAATTGAAATAGAATTGCAGCATATGTGTAAAGCACATCTGTCACTTCAAAAATTTCCGTAAAGTTATTTCACTTTCGACTCCCATCAAATAACTTTCAGCATGTGGGGTGGATCTACAGTTAGAATTTTGTTAACAGTCTTATTAAATATCAAAGTCGGGATGTGCTTGCGCATAAACGGAAACTTATTCGATACTATTTCTTCTTTTCGCCCACCCTCTACATGTTAGAATCAATTAAATAAAAAAACAGGTAAAATAGTTTATTTCGCCCCAAGCCGAGTAACTTGGCGCATTTTCCTGGCATTGATCAGTACGTCCCAAAAAGCCATACCTATGTGAGCTATGTTTTTCTTTACTAGAAGCATCTATGGTTAAAATTTCAAAGAAATGTCCCCATAAATAAGGAAGCTTTCTACGAGGGTCCGAGTGTTATAACATCTCAAACGCTCAGTTGGATGATATAGTATGAGCTGTATAAAAAATAAGCTAACAAAAAATAACTTGTGACGGCCCTTCTGCGCTTCCGCATAAATCAGTAGGAATCAAAGGCTTTTGTGTATTCCTGTGTATTTCTGCGTTGATAATTTTTGTGTTCGTATGTAAATCTACTACATAGTCTGATGTAGGTAATTATAAGACGTGTCACATAGATGTGTAATAAATAATTTGTGACAAGTAAACACGTAGTAATTACGTGTAATGATATTTTTTGCCGCAATTGAAAAAATGTGTAGTTTGAATTTTAAACTTTTGCACGTGAGTTGTGGCAACAGTGTAAAATGTCACGAAATTAGTTGAAAAAATTTCCGACAGGTACGGCATTGCAGCCAGCCAGCTTCGATTTCTGGTAACTGTATTGCCGGGCCGATCATTAATCATTGATTATCTCGCGGCAATTAACTAAATTATAACACAGTAGCAACCGAAAATGCAGTGAACAATAATTTTATACGCCTTAATAGTAATTCGTAGACATTAGTCGTTCTGTTTGATGTGTTTGTTCATATAAGAAGAATTAAATCTCCATTTTAATTTGCACCTGGACGTGTTTCGAGCATGAGAGTGTAGTGAGACAGTTGACAGTGTACTTTATATGACAACTAAAATTTGAGTGATGTTTCGTTTTATATACCTAAAGGCCAGTACTGATTTTTAACTAGAATTTTAAGAACTTGGCTGTGCATCCATCTCTCGCTGTTTGCAGCAGTCTGTTTTACTAAACCCACCTAGGAAGAGTTCTAAACTTTGCTTCTGCCGTATAATAAACATGAGCCGACCTGTGCAACGTATACAAGTACCCGAAGATCTAAGAGAAGTACTACTAGAGTTTACAATAAACTATCTGTTAGAGCAACCGGGCGACGTTATTAACTTTGCTGCCGATTACTTTTGTCGATTAAGAGACAATCGAACTGGAATTGTATTCGAAGGTGTAATCGGTGCAACGGATGCCTCGTCTCCTGATGAATCTATATCTAGGGAAGAAGGTAATTATGCAATTATTAACATGCGTACATCAAGATTTAGCCTAGTTACACTTTAAAGGCAAAACAGCTTTCAAAATCTTACGAGACCATTAATTCAATTTATTGTGTCATTGTAAAGATGGACTTTTATGGTCATTGCTAATGGTTATTGGTAGTTTATTTTACGCACACTGATAAGGGAATAAATGGGTCAAAATAATATAACTTCATTAAAGTCGGTTAAACTTTTTAATTAATATTCATGCGTAGGTTTTTTGTGTAACTACGATGATTCTGTTAAAAGTTTTGGCATAATTTCACTTACTGGCATTAATATCGTCGAGTTATGTAAGATATTTTTACTTATTCGTGGTTTTTGGCATCAAATTGTGGAAGGCTAATTTGTATTCTTACGTTTGTAATAATTACAAGGCAACATTATAATAACTCGTTATCTCGTACTCGTTATCAATAAACCATTTGGTACACTACGTAAACCTCGACGTAAACTTAATAGTGCAGACTTATGTAATCGTAAATAAAATGTGGAGAGTTATAAACCACAAGGTTAAAGTTCACTTGGGTCACTAATTATGGTCAATTACTGTGATGTGTGGTTAGAGGACTCGCATCTCTTATTTCAATTGAAAAGTGAGAGTCAATTCTTTTCCTTCGATTAAATTAATCTGCTACAAATATGATAAAATTGTTGTTATTATTGTTGTTATCGGGTAACAATAGATTTATGCATTTCCTCTGATTATGTAAGGTCTAGGATAAAAATATTCATATGGTAGTCCTCATTCGTAATACCTACATAACGCGAGATCTAATGTGAACCATAGGTAGTATCTTAAAATTAGAATATGAGGAAATTTTCCCATGCGTTTGATATGAACAGGTGATTGTCGACAGAGTATAAATATATGGGTAGGTAATTTCCATTGTATGAGGTATTTTATAAAACCCAACCTCCTCACGATTTTCATTATATATCACTTTGATATCGATGTTAACACTCCCCTTGAGCTCGCCTTGAGACTTCCCCTAAAGACAATTCAATTTGCTTGTATAGCAAACAAAAAGCTTCTAGAGGAATCTTTAATCAGCAAATAGAAAGAATGAGTCACACTATGGCTCCTTGATAATGATCTAGAATCATTTAGTGTATAGACTCCTGCCCCGTCTTTTTTCTTGTTTACAGTTAGCAACAAATTGTGTTATGTATAAACTGTGAGTCATATGTACTGTAAAGGTAGTTACACACCTACAGGTTCACCTCTCATTTCTACCAGGTGACTTGTCAAGTGGACCTGGGAGTATGGATGAGTAAAGTGTCAGTTTTCGTAACTGCCAAGTGACCTGACACTTGCTGTGAAAGTCGACAGGTCACAGGTGCACCTCACCCTTAGACTTGTAGGCGGCGTGTATGAATATCTGGGTTGATCTGCCAGTCGATCGTTTAAATGGGCCCCTCTGTACCACAGTACCACACCGCTGTGCATGTCTAACGAATTTTGTATAAGTTTTCTTTTAAAAGAAGATTTAGAAGAAAACCTTGAACCTACAAACAACCTAATATCCATCGCCTTTTTGGAAACAAAAATTTGTTTTACCAAAGAATTGAACCCTAGACTTCGCACTAGACCATTGGGCCACATATTACATCGTAACCGATCGTAACTAAACTGAGTTCGGATTCTAAAATAGTTGGGGGACGGGTCAATTATGACGTTACTTTTCACATGCACAGTGAAAGGTACGTAAGGGCCCATTTAGGTTAAAATATCTCTCAGTTGTTCATGCTAGATTGCTCCGGTCTCCACGTCCGTTTAACCAGCTTTCGTGTTTTTGAGCGTTTTTTTTTGTGTTTATTACTTCAGTTCGTATATTTTGTGTTTGTAGTAATTGTTATTAGTAATTATTACTATATAAACCATACAGTAATTTATAAATAATGGCATTAAAAAAACAAACAAGAGGTTAAACAAGTAAACTCCCACTAGTACGTGGGTATTGTCATTGCAACCCACTCACATAGGCAGACGAACAGACTACATTTAAAGTTGATACGTTCATAGTCTGAGCGTGCAATAAATAAGGTTATTAACTCGGTTTTTAACGTCTTTTGGGTAAAAATATTTTTGTTGCTAAAAATACACATGAATCACTTCTTGGGAATCAAGCAATCGAGTTTATTCTTTTTCCCAAGAAATTGGATGCATTTTTGAGTAAAAATATTTTTGTCTTTTTTCCAAGAAAATTGATGCATAAATAACGATTTTGACATCTTTTGGCTAAGAATATTTTGGGCACCAGAAATGCATTCATTTCTTGGGCATCAAAGAATAGATTTTGACCGATTTTGGGCAACAATGTGATGGATGCCAAAGTTAATTTTTGATAGGTTGCACATCTGGTACTGATAAGCTTTCATATAGGGAAAACCCGAAGTCAATACGAGGTCTACGGACTGAGCTATAGCCCAGAACGATGGACAGACGGAACAATGCGGACATAAGCGCTCCACTTTTGTGGGTTGCGCTAAAAAGAGTTGAAAATAATTGTCTCTTTTTGAATATGTGTTAAAACGACTTCCCATTATTCTTTTCGGTAGAAATTCAATGAACAGTTTTAGTCGTTACTTCAGACAATATGATTGGGGATGAAGTGGGGATCCAATTATGTGACTTTTTAAACTGGTTCCTTTTGAATTAACGTCAATCGAGCGTCACCAACGAGATCACCAAGTATATCTCCAGTATGTAATCCGTTTTTAAAAGAAAAAAAATCAAATAGACGGTTATTCTCCCCATCAGTGACCACAATAAGGGTCAAAATACAACCAAAATATTTTCTGGAATTTTCTGATCACCAATCTGCACCCATTTATTTACGATCTTTGTACTCGCATTCTGGTATTGTCATTCACGTACGTTTTTGATTCTGCAACGTCCTGACACTCCTGACTACTACAGATAAATAATTGTTATAAATTGTGTTTTTAAATTGCTCGAATTTATAAAAATAACTTGCGTAGCATTTCTTAATCATTGCCTTCATGTGTACCTGTGTGAAAAAGTACTGTAAGCGGACTAAAAATTTTGTTGTGTCATGTAATACCCGAGGTAATACCACACACTTTTTGGTAGACAAATCACTGATATATATTTTGTAGTCTGCTATCGATCTATACATTTTGTTATACAGAAGGTAATTGCTAAAGCGCCGACTTTTTGTAACTCATCGTTCACTCATCCCGATCTGTATCTTCAAGGCTTTTGCAGTTGCTTTCTTTGTACTCAGATTCCGTTGATGGGTCAATGATAATATCCATAAGTCAAAGAATTAAAGATTGTTTCTTTTTTAGCTGCAGCAAGAGGTTCTACAACGAGCAATGAAAGCAACTGTTACTGCCTGTAGGTATATGGAACGACTATAACAACATCAAGTTCAACATGTAATAAACAAATTAATAAAAAAATTGAAAAACAAAAACATTTAATTTTCACCGGACCTTGAAAATCGGCTTGACCTTGCTATTACAAAAGGTTATCCTCGATCGAGTCCTCGAATTATCTTGTTTCTACGATTGGATAGAACACTTTTCTGCAATAGAGACTACTCGGTTTATTATTCAATATTACAATATTACCTTCACTATAGTTTAATATCTTTTATAGAAAAATGCATGGTTATAAACAGGTAGGTATGTTAAGAGGACTGAACTAGGCAATTATTCAAAAACATCTGACTCGAAAACATTTTGTTTGGAAATTACTCTACTGAAATAGCCACTGTCCAAGAAATTGGTTGTGTTTGTTGCTAGTCCTAATTGCACTCGTATAAGGGGCAATTTCAGAAACTAGTTGATTTTTCGTTATATTATGGTAGAAATATGGTTTTTTGGACTCGCAGTTAGATTTTCGATTTGTTAAAATGTTGGTTTTTAAAGTATCTTTAGTATAATACTGTGCGCACACATGGGGAATTCGGCGAGAGCCTAATACATAGTAGTTTGCTGTGTGTATAGTTGATTTGGCGACATGCTCGATGTTTAGCGAATCGACAATATGCATGAAACGGATATCCGGTATTCGGCCTTATATTTGGCCGAATAGTAACACTATATCCGGCCGGACACTAAAACGAGGACTAGAATTTCCTCAATATGAAGGAAGAGTGGCCTCGATCAACTTCCGAAAATTGCAAATTTATTACACAAATCACCTGACATAATTCTTGGACACGAAAAGGAAAATTTGTCATGAAAATCCGGGGCGTACAATGGATTTCAATAAACACAATTGATTGACAATGACAAACATTTATTCCGAAACATATGAAACAAAATCCCTACAAAAAAGAAAAGGTTACAACGCTTGTTGGACATAATACCCCGCACTCAGACGGTGGATAATTTAAAAAAATGTGTTAAATTACTTAAGTTTTTTTAAATACAAATAATGCAGGTCGTACAAAATTTGCGATATGGCTGAACTGGCCCAAACGCCCACAGCTTCTGAATTTCACTTGTTCTTGATAACACTGAACTTGACAACATCTGCTTTGATGTTTCGTTTCGATACAAAAAAATACATAGAAGATAAATTGTGGACTAAATTTCTTACAAAAAAAGTTCGCGGAGCATATTTCGATCTTCCAGCGTTTTGTAATAAGAAACATTTAAATATGGTGTATGTTTTTACACAATGCATGATTTGCGTGGGTTCGCGGCGTCTGCAGTCAATATGTGCTTTTCATCCATTCATATTCGCGTTTAGCCATTGTTCGCACATTATTCTTAAACGCTGTAAAGATGACACGATATACAAAAGGTGCGTTCGATTTTCCGTTTCAGAAGTAAGTAGAGTAGAGAAAATTAATAATTGTACAATAAACGAACGACGTGAAACGGTTGGGGTTCAGAGCATTCTTACTCTGAGGGATGGAGCGTCAACAAAACCTCTAAATGTTGTACATTTTAGCTGGTCAACTCTTTTGTAATAATAAACCAGTTG